ATCACTAATTCTTCTTTGGATAGTATTATTTGACAGAGGTATTATATTTAATTTTGCAGCCTCTCTTTTCCCACACATTATATGTACCATTTTAACAGCTGCTGGAAAAATCAGATTTTCAGCAATTGTGTGCGGATTACTAGTTTTGGCAACACGATAAGCAACTTTATAACTGGCTAATAATTCTTTTTCATTAGTAGTGGTTGCCAAGGGAAAACTGTCTTGCTGTTTGTGAAGGACGTTCAGCTTTCTTTCAAAGAATTCTACGGGCTTGTCTTTTTTATCTGGATGTTTGCTATTTAAATGTCGAAGTAACTTTGATGGCTTCATGCTTTCTTTTGACAAGACTTGTCCACAGATAACACATTGTGGTTTATTGAAAATAACGGTAAAACCATATTTAAGATATTCATCAATGTAGAACCTGTTTTTCTTTTTATTCATAATTTATAATTTATCGTAGACGTAAATACGTAAACGGGAATACGTAAGTCGTAAAATATTTACTCATTACTCAACACCGTGTTCGCCACCATAGGCTGTTTGGATTCGAACTGAGGTTTCGTTGCGCATCGCCACTTATATAAAGCCAAAACGAGGCTACGAGAACGTTCCAGAGTGCCATCTAGTAGCGAGCGCTTTCGCGATTATCATGGAAGAGTTTTGCGATGTAGACACAAGCTAATATGTCGCGGTGTACAATGTGCAGTCGACTTCTTATTATTTATTTTTATTGTAAATGCTATTCTGGCAGAAGTACCTACTACTAATTACTAGTGGGACAGATCGCAATCATTAAAATAATTGTATTAAAATAAAATAATTGTTTTTGATTTAAACTTAAACAGTAAAGTAAAATTAAATTTGAGAAACCATCAGATAATTGTAAATTAGGCACGCTATTTCTGTCAAATAATAATAAATGAGTGGGGGAAATTGGGGGGTCGCGAACAAATTTTTTAGCAAAAAGGGGTCGCGGTTTAGATAAGTTTGGGAAACTCTGTACTAAAGTATGGCGAAAAAACATGACTAGTTAAATTGGTAATACATCTGAACACTTAAAGTACCAAAAATATCGTATAGAAAAAGTTTTACTCAAACAAAATAATAGGTGCAATTGTCTCACTGTACCCTTCCTTGGGGGAACAGTGAACTGTTTAAATTTATTACTGCACAAAATAATAATTTTAATTAAATAAATTAGACAATCGTACGCCACTATTACGGGAATACAAATTTCAATGATAGTTCAGCGTTTGGCGAAATTGTTTACAGTTTTGTCGCTTTTTTATAGTAAGAATTTTGTTTGTTTTGATTTCTTACACAATTTGATTCAAAATATAGTTAATATATAATAATAAATTATATTTATAAATACATATCAAATTTACCTGATTAGCTTTAAAAACTAATTATTGTTGTGTATTGTGATTGTGCTATGCCAAAAACAACTGAATAGTCTGTAGAAAGCGGATAGTAGCTGATAAGCTTTAATAGATTATTTTGAACACAAAAAAATAGTGGTACGTTTTTACTATTAATGGACTAATAGATAGAGTATTTGCTGTTCTTATACCCACAATTTAGATGGTATAATACATTTTAAAGTAATTTTTATTCATGCTATTAATATCAGCACCATCTAATGAATAATTAAAAGTTACGAAAGCCAAATAAGTTTTTATAAAAGCGTATGTTCATTTCAGACATATCTGACAAACAAATCCACATTCAGTTTGTTACTAAAAAATCGTCGAACTTTTTCGAATCTGTTTTAAAAACAGAAACCCCAAGAGTAATAAATAGTCACCAAAAAATAATCCTTTGGCTCTGATTGAAACGTGTCTGACTAATTAGAATATATTTTTGTGATTATATTTAAAACGGAAGTCACGCAAACTTCTGTTCTGTTTTTACCCGAAAACAACTTCTGTAGTAATTAACAGCACAGCAATGTTGTGGTCGCATACAAATTGCAAAGCTATAGTGTGGTGTAAATCGGTTTCTGAGTTTAGTCCCGGAAAATTTTGTACGTTTGTAGAAAAACTATATTTTTTTAAATCATAAAGGAATTCTTTATTTTTATTCGTTTTTACAGTGGCACTTTACTGGTATCACCGCATATAACTACAACACTTTTACATTACTGCATAAAACTCCCACTCATTGTTCTTCTTCTTATGGTGCCCTATCCAATTAATGGATGTTGGCGATAATTCTGGCTTCTGGCATACTCCTCTCGATCTTGTGTGATTCTAAAGAGTGCATGGGCATCGAGGTTTATCCAATCCCTTATGTTTTTAAGCCATGAGTATTTCTTCCTTCCGATGCCCCGTTTTCCTTCTATTTTCCCTTCCATAATAAGTTTTAAGAATTGGTACTTGCAATTTCGAAATATATGACCCAGATAAGCACTTTTCTTCTTTTTATTATTGGCAGCAATTCTCGTTCTCATTGTGTTAACTATAATGTCGTGAGGGTAAAAAATTACATTTAAATTAGTTGTTGCTATTTTTTCAGTATAGTTCTAATGATAATTCTCCATATTCTTCTGTTTTTTGCTCCTCTTCTCCAATCCAAGGCACCTACTTTCTTTAAGTCACTCTCAACCTGTCGTGTCCATCTTGTCATTAGTCTTCTTCTGCTTGTACTTCTTATACATACGTGCATACTTCCTTACTTTTTATCATTTTTTCCTTCTTCGTATGCCCTCCGCTTCATTGTTTTTTGCATATTTTAGTCATTCTTACTTGGATCAACTTTATTAAAAAAAATTCGTTTTTGATGTCCTTTATTTGCATAATTCTAGTTTTTTTTTCACCATGTTCTCTAATTTGTAGCAAACAAGTTTTCTGTCCTAGTTTTCTTGCTCTTTTTATATTTACTTTCTAATTTAGGTATATTCTTATAAAATTTGTCATATCTTCTTTCATATTCTCTTCATCTGTGTCAATCTTTAAATCTGGAGTATTTTCAATTTCAATTTCAATGTTTACCTTAGCTTTTGCTTATCTGTGTCTAAAGTCTCTATGTACAGTTTGTCAATGCATTGGTTGATCAAAGTTCTATTTCTGCCTTAGGATATACATAATCCAAAACCTTTCCGAAATCTATTAAGGTTAATGCTAGCGGTATGTCATATTCTTTAGCTCTACTCACTAGTTCTTGAAGCATATGGATATGATCCAGGGTATTGAATTCACTTATGAAGCCAGCTTGCTCCCTTGGTTATGCAGCATCTAATGCATTTGTTAATTGTTGTTGATACTCTTTGTGAATATCTTGTATATGAGTCGTAGTAGGCTAATAGGTCTGTAGTTTTTGATCTTCCTTGCTACCTTTCTAAGAATAAAAATTATGTTTGCTGTATTCATCTGGTCTATTATGCATCTTGATCTTAGGCACTTCCTAAATATGCCTACTAAGATTCTTCAGCTTTTTTGACAGCGTATTTAAGCAGTTACAGTGTCATGCCATCTATTCCAGTCACTTTACCGCTTTTAATTTTTGTAATTGTCGATTCTACTTTTTCTGAAAGGACTTCTGGTCGAAATTAAAAACGAAACATAAGCACTTGTAAAAAAAATAAAAAAAAATAAAAAAATAAGAACAAGAAGAATTTCTTTAAAAGAGGACTTTAAAGAGGAAGAAGACGAAGAAGAAAAAGAATAAGAAGACTTCTGGTATATCTTCTTGGTTACTAATTAGATCTTCAAGTCTTTCAAGGTCTATTGTCTGATTTCATTTTTGTCTGTAATTCTGGTGTTTGTAAAGGCAACAATTTGCTTTTTCCCAATGATTAATATTTTTCTTGTTTTCTTATAGTTTTTTCTGTTTTCAATTGTATTTTCTACCAGTCGTTTATTGTGTTTTCTTATGTCTTCCTTAATACTTTTTTTTATTGTCAATCCCAAACAAAGTTCTGTGTAAGTATGTTGCTACTTACTTACTGTTTTAGCATTATTTTGGGTTTATTAGACAGTTTCCTATGTTCATTTTGTTGTTGGCTCTGATTACTTTTTCACTATTCTATTTTTTGGCACTATATGGACGATTTTCATTAATTGAGAGCTGTCAATTTAATTATAGAATCTTTCAAAAATTGTCCTTTGGTAGTGATCTGAATTTTCTTTTAGATTGTTAATATTTATAGCGGTTACTGTTGCTTACCGGATGAGTGCCACCTCCTGTTTCTTTGTCAGGCTTGAAAATTCTCATTGTTTAGCATCATAAATTTTTCTCATTTCTTAGGATATCTTTTAATAGTTCGCAATTATATCTCAGTTGTAAGTGCTTCACGCTCTTAAATTTTTTTAACTAGGTGACTGATTCCTTATTTTCTGCTTTACTCTACATTATATCTCAACCAATAACTTTCCTTGGTGGTCAATTTAGTTTCATATTTAAAAGTTAAGAAACAAATTAAATATTTTATTTTAGACTGTATTAACAACACTATTCACAAAATAACAAGTACCCTTCTGGAAAATGTCAACCACCTCGCTTGCTGGGTGCTGAATGGCATCTGAGAAGCTTTGGTCTGCTCCTATTCTAGGCTTATACTTGGATCTAGGAATTCCAAAATTACTTAGTTGCACAGATATAGTTGTCGATTTGTCCATGCTTGATTAATATATTCGCAGGAATCCTGCTAGCATTTTGCTGGTCCTTCCAGAACATAGAATGTATAATGAAACATATGAAAAATATATATAAGGTACAAATTTAAGATTTATTGTTATATATATATAATATATATATATATATATATATATATATATATATATATATATATATATATATATATATATATAATATATATATATATATATATATATATATATATATATGTAGACAATATATTTACAAATTGTCCTGTACCCACGCTACGAAAATGCATTTAAGCGTGACTCTCTATTAACTTCTATTAGCTGCACAATGTGTGTGTATTGTGTCAATATAACGTTTAATATAATATTTTACAATCCTTATTTATGCTTTTATGTATAAAATGATCTCAAAACAGCTGCATATGAATAAGAAGATCTTAAAATCTAAAATAAAAGTATAAGTATTAATTACCATAGCATCTAGTAAGCAAAAAAAAATGTGTATAATATTGCAAACATCAAAAATGGGTAAAGATGTATTTTTTAAGAACAAAAGAAAACGGGGTTATAAAGAAGAATACAATTGTATTAAAAGGTGAAATAGAGGAAACTACAGACGAGTACATAAATGATATTGCTGAAACTAATCGCATACAGCCGTATCCCAATAACGATACGGCAGGGCATAACGGAACTAAAGGAGAACTAATAAAGAGCATGGAGGGAAAAGCTGTCAATCATATTCTCGATGCACAACAAAAAAATAAACTTACAAACTGCAGAGGAATCTTACTTTTTGTGATTGCCAATAAAATATACAGAGTGTACTATACAGAGTTTGGGATACAGAGATTCCATATTTGATATTTACAATGTTGCCAGATTTGCCGTTTTTCTTATATTATTAGTAACTTTGGTTTTCAAATACATCACCCTGTATATTCAGTCATTATTGGAATCTCCTATTCAATACGAGTTCAACCATATGTAACACTTATGATTTTATGTAATCTGGAAGGTCATAAATACATAAAACCGAAGTCTGGCAACGCCTAAATTGTTTCAATAAATTTTTTAATACTAACTATTTTCAAATACATTAAAACGTAACAATTGATAGTTTAGAACATTTTTTAACATAGTAGTTACGTTATTAAGTGTTTAAAATGTGCTCAATTTGTGAGTTGACAGCACCCTAATCGATGGTAGAAGGCGTCTACCACATTTCTCCATGATTGTCTAGAAATTATTCGAGATTCATTGATAATTCGTTGCCTTAGCTCTGCAAGACTTGCTGGTTAAGTTTTGTAAACTGAATTTTTCAAGTATCCCTAATAAAAATAATCTTTAGGATTGAAATCGGGTGAACGTGGAGGCCATTCAATTCTACCTTGTCTACCAATTTATCGTCCAGGAAATATCTCATCTAAATATCGCCGAACATTTACACCAACTATCTGACGTTAAATTTATTTCGACAAAAAATGACCCAATTGAATAAGTAACTACTATATCTGACCATACATTTAATTTTTGTGGTCTTTGAGTATGGTTTTCACGCATTCAGTCTTCAGTGTGAATTTACGTCACACCAGTACCTTAAATTGTGTCGATTTACACTTCCACACAGTGTAAAAGTTGCTTCATCGGAAAAACATATTCTGTTAACGAAATTTTAATAATTTTCAATTGTATCCATCATTACCTCAGTAAACTCTAATCTACGACCAAAGTCATCTTCACTTAATTCTTGCAATAAGTTAATTTTGTATGATTTAAATTTATTTTTACGTAATAAACGTAAGACTGAAGAATGACCTACATCATGTACTTGTGCAACCCTGCCTGGGGATGTATGTGGATCTTCAACAAAACTTTGCTTATATCTGAAGTTTTGTTGTCATTGATAACTCGTTTCGGTCAACCTGATCGGTATCTATCTTTTACTTCTCCAGATTCCTCAAATCGCCTTACAGTTTTTTGTACCGTCGTCTTATGAATAGGAGAACGGTTTAGAGAACGGCATTTTAGAGAAGCAATTTAAATTGCAGAACTTTTTGAACCACAACTACTGTCAATTTTAGTTCATAATTTAAATGGTGAACAAATGTCAAAATCACAGCATTCTCCATTTAAATATTTAAATTTATTAAAATCTACATATTTTGCACTGTTTTATGTATTTAAGATCTTTCAGACTACATAAAATCAAGTGAACATATGGTTGAACTCGTATTGAATAGCTGAACTCGTGTGAAATTCACACTGAATGCGTGAAAACCATACTCAAAGACCACAAAAATTAAATGTATGGTCAGTTATAGTAGGTACTTATTTAATTGGGCCATTTTTTATCGAAAGAAATTTAACGTCAGATAGTTGGTGTAAATGTTCGGCGTTATTTAGATGAGATATTTCCCGGACGATAAATTGGTAGACAAGGTAGAATTGAATGGCCTCCACGTTCACCCGATCTCAATCCTAAAGATTATTTTTATTAGAGATACTTGAAAAATTCAGTTTACAAAACTTAACCAGCAAGTCTTGCATAGCTAAGGCAATGAATTATCGATGAATCTCGAATAATTTCTAGACAATCATGGAGAAATGTGGTAGACGCATTCTACCATCGATTAGAGTGCTGTCAACTCACAAATGGAGCACATTTTGAACACTTAATAACGTAACTATTATGTTAAAAAATATTCTAAACTATCAATTGTTACGTTTTAATGTATTTGAAAATAGTTAGTATTAAAAAATGTATTGAAACAATTTAGGCGTTGCCAGACTTCTGTTTTATGTATTTAAGACCTTCCAGACTACATAAAATCATAAGTGTTACATATGGTTGAACTCGTATTTAATAGGAGATTCCAATAATGACTGAATATACAGGGTGATGCATTTGAAAAACCAAAGTTACTAGTAATATAAGAGAAACTGAAAATCTGGCAACATTGCAAATACCAAATATGGAATCTCCGTATCCCAAAATAGGCGTATCTCAAATTTTGTATAATTATGTCTAGTAATTTACGAGATAATTAGCCGTTTCCAGACTTTTGGGCCACTCTGTATAAAATAATAATTATGAAAAACCTCTAATAGAAGCCGTGAAGGAGATATTAGATGAAAATTAATGTGACTGTAGAGCACGAAAAGGTAAAACTGATCTTATGTTTACTGTAAGATAATTAATAGAAAAAATAATTGTGTACAAATAATTGAGAGTACCACTATGAATTTAATATGGAAAATCATAAACTTAACCCCTTCGGCTACTATCAGTATTCACAATAGACTTCTAATACCGCCACCTATGATGTGGCGCTCAAATTATAAGAACCACTCTTTACGCCATGTACACTTTCCTGTAAAACGCATAGTACCGGTAGAAATGCAGTTTGTATTTAACTAAAGTCATTTTACCAAGATCACTGCAACTTAGAATAAGATAATTAGTAATTTGCTGTTTATTTATTTATATTTCTAAAATATGATTAGACGTTGCTATTATAATTCGACTACTGCAAAGAATAAAGTTGTAAATAGCGTTTAAAATATTATTCAAAAATGATAAAACAATATTCCAATTGAAGGGTGCAGAAGAAAAGACAACTAAGTCAAAAAACTCAAGAAACTTCAAAACTTCAGGAGAAAGAAAACAAAATTTGAAATGATAAAAATCCTATGTTTTTTACATTTTTAGCTAAATATTTTTTATATTTATTTGGAGATGTACTTTTTCTAAATAGTTAGTATAATGTTATGAATGAATTTTTATTTCGTAGTTAGCTTTTTTTTCTTTAATCAAAATGTGGACTGACTTGGTTCTTCCCCTGAATACGTCAAAAAAAAATTTATTTTATTATTTTTTGAATTCTGTAAGTCATTTCTACATCACATTAATAGAACAAACCAAGCTACAAACTATTGACTGCAACTCAGGCTGAATGACAGAAAGAAGTTGGCTGTAGTACTCTTTAGGTCTCCCTCTTCTTCACAGAATTGCATTAGAACTTTTAGATCGGGACACTTTTCTTTGGGCAAAGGTATACGCGTTTGGTAGAGCTGATTGGGTTCTTTAAGATCGGGTACCTTTGATTTCCCCTTCTGGTTCTTCCGTTAATCTTTAAACAGAGACGACGTGAAAGATCCGTTATATGTTACCCTGTGACCCACGGTTTTGCATTTTGTTTCAAAAAACATTAACTGTTTTAACTGGCGAATATGAAAACAAAATTTCTTTTTATAAAACTTGGGAGTTTTACACCAAAACAAGACCTTAATAAGACCGGTTTTGATATACGGGGCTGAAACGTGGATCTTATCTCAAAATGATGAAAGATTTTTTGAGAGATAGAGGTATTTTTGAGAGAACAATCCTTAGAAAGATTTTTGGTCCTTAAATAAAAATAGGCTATGGCTTCGAAGATACAACTTTGAACTATATCAGTTATACACCGATCCAGATATTGTAAAATTCAATAAAATGTAGAGACTTAGATGGGCTGGACACAATGCTAGGATGTCAAATCACGAATACACGAAGAGATTATTATTTTTAAAACCAGAGGGCATAAGAAGCGGATGACGACCACGAAGGAGATGGGTTGATGATGTGGAAGAAGACCTACAGATTATAAGGGTCAGAAGATGAAGGAAAGTTGCCAGGAATCGACAGCAGTGGCGACTTCTTTGTGAGCAGGCCAAGATCCACAGAGGATTGTCGAGCCACTTATGATGATGATGATAATTTTCGTTTATAATAAAGCATTAACAGTTTAGATTGAATGATAGTTTCAAGTGAATTTTTAGTAATCTCGTTATTCACTTTCTTAAGTTGTCTGGCAAGTCTTATTAGCAATGTGGTTAGTGTACTTCAGATCAATCTCTGCTTTTTCGTCTTCGCGTTCATTTCGGTAAACATGACAAAAGACATATTGGTCTTTTTTTGGTTTAAAAAACTTATAATATTTTGATACACTGGGACGATATGGTACGATACAGTATTTTTCGATGAAAATTATATTTAAGTCAACGTTGTATCTGTGGTTACTCGGTTATTCTATAAATAATTCAAATATTTTTTGATACTGACGGTATTATTTCATTCGGAATCTTTCTTATAAATCCAGTTAGAACCACAAAGACTATATTGGCGGACAGAGCATAAAAATTTATACAAAAAAAACAATGTAACTAACCCAAAATCGACAAAAATGTTAGTTACAACGTTATTCTATGCAGGGTTGAATAAATCTTAGAAGTTAAATACATATTAAGAAATGTGTACAGTATGTTTTGTGTCATTATAATTTATAACTTTAATTTACAGCGAGGTCTGAAATCCAAGAAATATGTTAAGAAGAAAAAAATTTGCAGTTAGGGCACAATAAAAAATATACCAGAGGTTGACTAAATGGAAATGCATGGAAGAAAGAAGGAAAACAAAAATAATTGTCTATATTTGATCGTTTTTGTTTACTTACTGCCGTTAAAGTAGCCATAGATAACTTTAAAAATACTGCTTTGACTGCCAGCGGTTTGTGAGCTCTTATCATCATAATCAGCAACATTTTTTGTACCGTTTTAGAACTTTCGTCCCAGTTAAACATATAGCAGGCATCTTCAACTTCTGTACTCTGAAAATTTACATCAATGTTTTAAAGGATTTAAACTAGAAAATAAATGATAAATGACATTTAGTGCTTAGATAAATAATATATTGGTTACCAAAATAGTTATTTATGCACCAAGGGTGTTATTAAGATGTTTTCGCCCAAAGAGCAATACAATCCAGCCAAAAAGCCTCAAATCTGACATACATAATTTTTTATTCCGATAACTGATGTGGTCAAAAAAACATATTTGTACTTACAATGTATTACTACGTAATTAAGAAGTTTCAGTTAAATTCCATAACATATAATTACCTCATCCGAGGTCATACACAAAACGATGGTGATGTAGTCCACTGTTTTATTAAAGAAGCTATGAAAAGAGCTTAAAAGTAAGGTCCGATATACGTTTCTGATCAAATTGTGTCGACATCCGCTTCAACTGAAGATAGAAAAATAAACACGGCAAACGGATAAAATTGTCAGATATTAAAATGATTCGATTTGAGAATGAAAGTGATCTTTTACAAACCAGCTACAAATAGGTGTATTGTATAACTACTATGAAAGTGAATAAATGTATCCTTTTTGGTGTGTATTAACCTATCATGTTAGAACACTTTATTTTCTTAGCATTTGTGCATTTTCTGTTGTGTTTCTTATTTGGTCTCTCTTCTATTATTTTAAAATCACTTGAATCATTAAAATTATTAAAATTAATAAAAATTGATTGTATACAATGTAAAATAAAATATATACTGTACCTTGGTTTTAAGCAAATGGCCGAACCAACAAAAGGAAAATATTTCCAGGAACATTCCAATAAAATAAATGATTTGCATAAAAAACTTCAACGATAACATTTCCATCTACAAAAATGTAACAGATCGTATATTATTTTCAATGCTATTATATGTATATTAGTATTTTATCTATTATATTATATTATATGTATAATAAAATAAATGAATGGGTCAGCTGTGAAGGCAAGGAGGTAAACTATCATCTTACTCATTTGTTCAAAATAGAAGTTAGTTTTGGCTTCCATCTCAAATGGTTTTTTAAGGAAACTAGTGTATGTATACAATATCAAGGAGGATATAGAGATACCGTGGAGAATATTATCTTTGAAAGAGCAATGGAACAAGGACAGTAGTGTGAGATGGGTTTATGTGATAGGATGATAGATCCTCTATGGAAATTATTGTTATTGATGATGATAATAACTATGATCTTACCACAGTCAATTCAAATCCAGTAAAACAAATTTCAATAACACTTTTAAAGAATTCTAAAAATAAAATATTCGAAAATACCTCTTCTATGTAATGAACAAATCTGAAAATAAAAGAAAATAAGATAAATATTTATTTTCACTTTAAAATTGTTAAAAAATTACGTTAAAATCATTCATTTACCGGAAACCCTCGGGATAATAGGTTTAACCCTTTCATTACTGTGGGGACATATATGTCCCAGCGGATTTCAAAAAATCTGCTGGCATCTATTTGTCCCACCATAGTTCACGTTACTTAAACGCATCCGTATTTTTAGACATTCCTTATTCATTACCTAGTAGTAGGCAACACACATATCACGTCTGTAACCTATTAATTGATGTTAACTAAACACGTGCATCAACAACTCGTAAATAATACAATTTTAGTAAAGAAAAGCGGCTGATCTTTTATTTTAACCGATTATATATAATTTAGTTGCTGATTAACACAGGTTAATGATATATATTGTTTATTTTTGATATTGTTTTTATCGATTTTACCATAATTTCTAAACGAGACTCTAGTGTCCAGTAGTAGTTTATATCGGGTTGTATTTATCCCATTCGTATTGTTTGATTGCAGACTTACTATGGCACGTAGACGTTTTCTAACACAAAATGAGCTGTAAAAAAAATTGAAAACCTCTCAAATATTTCTGAAAATAAATCCGAGGAAGAACCTTATGCTGCCTCAAAGTCTGATTACGTACCTGGTGACGATTCTGCCTCAGATTCTGATGAAGTACCTGAGAATACTCCTGACCGTGTGGATGTAAACATCACTGCTTTTAACTAAGAAAGTTCTGATAACATGGAAATATCTGAAGATGAGTCTGAAAGGAATGGATTGACTGCACAATGGAATATACCAAATACAAACTTTTGTCCGGAAAAAGAAATTCCTACCGAGAAATGGGTTAACAATACTAAATATTGATAAAGGTTCTCGTCCTATTGATATTTATCTAAAATTATTTCCTCGTAGTTTATATATGCACATTGCTTCCTGTACAAACCAAAGAATAGCAGCACTTTGAAAAAACAGAAATATAAAATTAAACACGAAAAAAACAGATATGTACAAAATGATGACAGTGATTGGTTATACTATGCTTATGTGTTGTATAATAAAGTACCATCTATCTCACACTAGTAGGTACAAAATGAATCACTTGTGAATTCCCTCATAAAAATTTTCTGTTCCCTATATTAAGAGATAGCTGTTTATTTCTGCTATCTTAGTCCTGCTATAATAATCCTGAAAGAAATGGTAATACATCAAAAATTTATTACATTGATGAAGTGGTTTTATGTTAGAAACAAACTTTTGTAAAGGCGAGGACTGAGTTCCCATCAGTCCATCGACATATCAATCACTAAGTTCAAAGGAAGATCTTAAAGCAGTATCTTTCTTTGAAACTAGTAAAAAGAGGTATAAAAATGTGGTAGCAAAGTAATTATTTCACAGAATATATACACGATTTCAATATTTACTTCAAAACTATTGGAAGTAAATGGTTTAAATTAAAATTAAAAACAACAGAACCAAAATAAAAAGCACTTACACAGTAATGTATACAAACTTAAATGTGGCTGCCCAAAATCTTACATCGGTCAAACTGGTTGAAATTTTAATAAACGAATAGCAGAACATAAAAGGGCTTTCAATAATAGAAAAACAGATTCTACATACGCACTTCACCTTCTAGATCATAATCATCCTTTTAATGACGAATTTCAAGTTCTTCACATTCAAAATAAAAGCCTTAAGCTATCTTTGTTAGAATCTATGGAAATTACCAAATTAAAAAACTCAGATATAATTCTGAATGACTAACTTGAGACAAAAAGTTGTCCCCTCCTCAACCTATTTCAATAAAGACAATAAACTGTAAATGCATACCAAAAATATATCACTTGAGAAAGGCACTTTGTCGAAACGCCTCTAGTAATAAGATTTAACACATTGCCTGCCACACGCCTCTCAAAAAGTTTCATGGGGCGCCACACCAAAAAAATTGTTCAATTCCTGGAGGCCATGTCAGACAGATATGACCGACGGAAATTTTTACGGTGAGGCCATGTCGGTCATATATGACTGACAGGATAGCTTTCGAATGCCCTTCTATAACTCAAAATTACGTGAGGGTATATGGATTTTTATATACAATTTTGTTGTTGTGGCATCCAGTAATACTTCATTAAAACATTGGTGGCGCACCAAGAAAAAATGAAAAAATTAAAAGAAAAAAATAGTTTTTATTTTTGCCATACAAAAGTGAAACAAAAACAGGAAAATATAAATTTATTACGTATGAATATTTTTAAAGCAGTCCATGCACATATAAGGTTGATCAGGACAACCACAGCAATAAGTCATTACTTTTTTCACTTCCTTTCTGGCTTCCGATCTTCCTAGAGAACCAATCAAATGTCTGTAACAAGGCTTGCAAATACGACGAATTTTTTTGTCTTTGGTCAATGCATGTCCTGTTTTTTTTATAGGTTCTTCTCTTGGTTCTATGTCTAACATTTGCTGAATCAGTTGTTCTCTGAACTTTCGTATTTGCATCTTCTTTTTCGTTGAAAATGTATAAATTTCAGCAACAATTCATATCTGTTTCGAGACATTATTTTAGGGGCCAGGGGAATATTATAAATACTCTTGGTAGACCAGCAAGCTTGAATATTTCCTATCTTTACCAGACCCATCCATAAAGTGAGGCCCAGAAATTTTTTTATTTCAGTACTATTCGTAGGAATCCATTTTGTTAATCTAGACCCACGTTGTATTCTAGTGTTCTCGATTACCCTTGCTGCATATTTGTTTATAAATTCCACAATATTATTTATAATCTTATCATCTACAAACAAGCAGTATGCCTCATAAGCTGTTATAACTTTGGGGATGTCAATTTTAGTCCAGAAGGCCCTAAAAAATTTTAATTATTTATATTCATATTCAAAAATTATTTATATTCATATTACCTAGAAAAGAAAAAGTTTTATGACATCCTGTATTTCTGACCACTGGGGATTATAACTGTGAGGATCGTTTTTATTTTCTGGTTCTAGAACATTTATTTCTGAAGCCTCTTTATCTTCATTTTCTGACTCTTCTCTTTCTTCCTCCTCTTGCATATAATGTAGTAATGCCTCAATACTATCATTGCCGGATTCTTCTTCAGAGGGAAGCCAATCTTGGCCAATCATGGCCTCTACCAAAATAAGTTTCCGGGCAGGCCACGTCAGTCACAATTGGGTGACGATTTTAAATAAACAAAACTAATGTTTTTTACCATGCAATAATTTTTTGCTGAAAACATGATAATCAAGACATAAAAACCTTTCCCTATATCTTCTTTTTTTGCTGTGGCCTCCCACGAACTTTATTAGAAAATGCCTGTGGCCCCAGTGAATCAACGCTGTCACTCATATATGACCGACATGGCCTACAGCAAAAAATTTCTGTCAGTCAAATTTGGGTGACGTGGCAATGTTAATAATTTTGTGGAAGTTTTGAAAACAAAGTTTTCAGTGTTTTATTGTTACATAAAATAAATTTCCATCAAGTAACAGTGGAATTCATCAATTATTTAAAAAATAAATTTACCTGATTATGTCCTGATGATACTTAATGTTCCTTGACATCTGCCTTTCAATTATAGGATGTTTAGGATCTAGTCGTCTAATATTTTCATTAAGAATGTCTAATTGGCAACAAGCAACATCAGCTAGTGTGTAATACAAACAATCTGCGCTCGTATCTAATATTGAACTAATACCCGTTACTGCCAGTTGAAAAATAACTACTAAGTAATAAGACAATGGATCTTTCAAATCAAATGGCGTCCAGCTCAGCATTGGTACAAATTTTTTTTCTTCTTGAAACAAAACTATAAAGATTTGAACCAAAATGAACCAAAATATTGCTAATCGGTACACGGTTCCAATTCTGGATCTAATAATTTCCCGTCGGGATAGAGTATCACGCAAATCATCTAAAAAATTCTAAATATAAAATAATCCATTAACACTTGCTTATCTGGAAAGTTTGCTAATTAGTACCGAAAGGATGTTGCTGTCTGAAAAAAAGTTTTAATAATTAATTTTGCTGCCTCAAAATATTATACAAAAGACGGGCCGATGTCTGAAGGACCCCATTCTTAAATGGGTGAACTATCATCATCATCATTGGTGCTACAGCCCTATAAAAGAGCCTCGGCCTTCCCAAGTCTATTACGCCAGTCAGTTCTATCCATTGCCAACTGTTGCCAGTTTGCTGCGCCTATTTTTCTACCATCCTCATCTACACCATCCCTCCATCTGAGTTTTGGCCTATCCCTACTTCTACATCCCACAGATTGTGACATAAGGATTCTTCTAGGAGAATTGTTCTACTGTGATCTTGCCAGATGTCCTACCCATCTTAGTCTTCCTATTTTTATAAGAGATACTATGTCTTTACCACCAAATATATGTCTATATCTGTGATATATTTCGTAGTTGTACCTCCTTCTCCAAACACCATTTTCACAGATACTACAGGATCCTTCGTTCAAATAAGCAGGAGATTTTCATCTGCCTTAGAAATGGCCCATGTTTTCGATCCATATGTCAACACTGGTTGTATAAGAGTTTTGTATATGGTTATTTGTTTTGTTTGGCTTAAGTTTCTGCTTCTCATATCCAAAATAGCATTTGTTTGATAGGATTATTCTTCGCTTGATATCTTCCGTCATGACGTTCTCATTGGTGATCAGGGAGCCTAAGTATGTGAATTTGTCCACCACTTTAAAGGTAGAGTTACAACGTGAATTGGTGCCGATGTTTCTGGCTCTATTATTGGGTGTTGATACTAAAATCTTAGTTTTCTCCTCGTTTACTTGCAGGCATATATTTTTTGAGGCATTTGACAAGGTGGTATACATTTCTTTCGTTATTTCTTTATTAAAAATATTTTCTCTGTTGTCTATTTGGGCATACCTGACCGCCTTTTCCAGAACTATATTGAAAAGGAGAAAAAGAGAAGTTAGGCCTATTCGCCTCTGTATTTCAT